CTCTTCATGACTTTGGAGAGGTCCCTAACAGCTTTTAATTCATGTAACCTTTTTATATCTTTAAATGTTTGTGGGGGTCACTATTAGGAACTGAATTTTCTTTTCCAAAAACATGTGTTGTAAATCCTAACCTTTATACCTGCGAAGAAGAATTGATGCTTTTGAGCTGTGGTGTCAGAGAAGAGTACTGAATAGCCCATGGACTGCCAAAAGAACAGATATGTCTTGGAAAAGGTGCAACCAGACTGCTTCTTGGAGACAAAGATGTTAAAGCTACATCTCACAAGATTTGGGTATGTTGTTAAGAGAGACTATTACTTGGACAGGGACATCATGCTTGGGAAGGTGGGGGGACAGGGGAAGAGAGGAAGACCCTCACCAGGTGGATTCACACAGTGACTGTAGCAATGGCTTAAGTGTGTTAGGCAGAGTGAGGATAGCACAGGATAGGACAGGGTTCAGATCTGCTGTTCATGGGGTTGCTTTGAGTCATCCTCTACTTGACTGTACCAAACAACAACAACTTGTGTTATACTCCCATTTGAGAATGGATTTTTAAATTATATTGTGATAGCATTAGTATAGGGAGCTCTGGTGGCCTACTGGTAAGAAGCCATACTGCAATCCTGAAAGTAGGTGGTTTGAGAGCACAAGCTGCTCTGAGGGAGAAGGATGGGTAATCACCTCCCGTGTGATTTAGTGCCTCTGAAAACCCACCAGAGAGTCAGCTGTGGGTCAGGTCTGACTCTGCAGTACACAACAACAGTGTTAGTCTAGAGTATGTCTTTACTACATTTGTTTTGAAATAGAAGAGATTAAACAAGCAAGGGAATATGCAGAAACAGGGAGTTACCATATAATATGAGGCCACAAAAGAACCAAGAAATGGATGCTTTTAGATGCTAGAGATGAGGATCATTTCTCCAAAAGCTAACAGAGAAAAAGCCACCTACTTGGGTGTATGCCTTGCTTTTGGACTTCTAGGAAAATTGACAAAATATACTTTTATCTCCTAAAATCACCACTTGCAGATTTTATCTATCTATCTATCTATCTATTTATTTTGGTAGCAGGGCTAGATATGTAAGGCAGTATTTCATCATTTGGAACAGCCAACTATAAATGAAACATTATGCCTAGAATTTAAAGGTTAAGAGAACACATTTTACAATCCATCATTAACAGTACCTTCCATGGCTGCTTCAAATGCATGAGTGCAGTCGATATCCATTGAGTTATTTCCAGCTTCCAGCATCATTCTCTTGCTTGTGTCATTGCACCTCTGGATTTCATAGTCTGGAAACATAAAGAAAGTGAGTCCTGGGTTGCTTTCTTCATATGCCTAAGACTTGTGGAAGAACTCTTTCCCTTCAGAGAGCCAATATTGGCAATTTGATCGCCTCCTTAGACTAGATGGTCCTCCTTGTTACACCCAACTTTACACCTTCATGTCTGGTTATTGAGTTTGAAGGATTTAAAACGTCCTGAGCAACACTCTGGCCACAGAAATCAAGAGGAGGTGGCTATATTTCCCAGAGCTCACTACCAATCTGCCTTCCTTATTAAAAGTACAGAGGACTTGAAGCCCTTGCTTAATGATGCTAATTAATGGTCTAGTTGTGAGAATTATTATATTCTTTGTATTAATGTGTGACTCATAAGAAGGATATAATCTTTAATCTTTACCAATCAACTGATCTAAATCTTCACTTTGCAAAGTAAAGTTTTATATCATGTGCATTTTATAGATCAATGAGTCTTCCTCCAGTCTTGATGTCAACTTTTCTTCATATAATAGAGTTTTTTAAATTACTTATTCACCACGGATCTTGGTTAAGTATTGTGAAATGACGGAAACAGAACAGGCATCTTCTGGTGAGCTAACTTCTTATTAAGGAGACATAAATGACAGGGAAAAGTTAAGAATACACACTGGAGTGCTCACTCAGGGGAGGACTTCCTTCTTTTAAGCTAATCATCTAAAGCTTCCCAAGGAAGTTCAACTAGAAGTTGAGTCACTTGAGTAAATTCAGTCATATAAGCACAATATCTGACAAGATCATCCTCATAAAAGCTTTTCATTGTCTCTGAGAAAGTGAGAAAATTTATCTAGGTTCTGTGATCGGGGTTACTCATTTTCCCTATAACCCTTTCTTCCTTTGGGAACATAAAATCACTGTTATTAAATTAATACTCATTGATATGCACCAGATTTAAGTCATGCACAAGTCATTTCCCAGTTTCCATTACAGCTAGGTGAAGCCCTGCAACTATCTAAAGCCAAGAGAGGGGAGATTCAAAGTGTTGTGTGCTAAAAGGAATAAGCACGCCTTCGAAATGTCTCTCCCCACCCCTTCCCACTGGCTGGTAACAAGATGTGGAAATAGAGCTGTCATCTTAGAATACAGTCAGAAACTAAACCGGCATATTGAGTAGGATTGGAGTTGCTGTGGAATTGTCTTTACTACTCATTGATTTATTTTGCTAAAATTTGTTAAAGATATAGGGATCCCTGGTGGCAAGAAACTGCATTTCCATCCCAAAGGCAGGTGGTTCAAATCCAGCATCTGCTCGGTGGCAGGAAGACGAACTTTCCTTTTCAGAACTGTCTCTGAAAATCGCAGGGAAGGTCAGCTATGAATTGTTTCTATCTTGACATCCCACAACAACAGCATCAAAACTGTCAGATAAATAGATCAACCTCTCTGTGTTTAATACACAGTTATTTCAGTCTTTGTTATACCACTAGATACTGGATGATAATAGAGAAACTACTCCATGGGCCAAAGTTTAAACCATATATAAAATTTTTTTAATGTTTTAACTTAGTAATAGTTAAAGCCTAACATATGAACGTTTGCGGAATGTAGCCAAAAGAATGGTTAGAGGAAAATAGGTAATTATAAAACATAGTCAGGTGCTCAAGTGTTGGAGGACAAACAGAGTTGCACTGTTACTATACGGGGACCTTGCTGGTGGTTTGAAGCCATCATCTCTGCGGGAGCATGATGGGCAGTCTCCTTCTGATGTTATTTATAGCCTCAGAAAGCCTGCTTGACGGTGAGTCAGGAGTTGATTCTGACTTGATGACAATGAATTTGAGCTGAGAATTTAGGTTTATATCTCTAAATACAGTTGTTGTTGTTGTTAAGTGCCATCGAGTTGTTGTTGTTGTGTTGTTATGTGCCGTCGAGTCGCTTGCAACTCATAGCGACCCTATGTACAACAGCCCTAAACTCCGCTCTGTCCTGTGTCAATCGCACTGTTTCTGACACTCCCATCCCGATTATCCCAGTCACTGAATCATTCCACCTCACAGAGGGCCTTCCTCTCCTGCGCTGTCCCTCCACCCTCCCAAGCATGATGACCCTCTCCAAGGACCGGTCTCTCCTCACAACATGTCCGAAGTATGTTAGACGGAGCCTCAGAATCCTTGCCTCCAAGGAACCACCCGGTTTAACCCTCTCCAGGACAAATCTATTTGTTTCCCTAGCAGTCCATGGTATTCTCAATACTTTTCTCCAGCACCACAGTTCAAAGGCATCAATTCTCCTTCTATCCTCCTTGGTCATTGTCCAACTCTCTGATGCATAACAAGTGATTGTGAAGACCATGGCCTGTATCAGATGCACCTTAGTCTCCAGAGAGCTACTATTGCTCTTCAGTACTTTGGAGAGGTCCCTAACAGCAGACTTTCCCATGACAATGCGCCTTTTAATTTCCTGGCTGCTGGTGCTAAGACTGTTGACTGTGGAGCCAAGCAAACTAAAGCTGTGTACAATCTCAATCTCTTCACCATCCATCCTGATGCTGCCAATTGGTCCAGTAGTGAGAATCTTTGTCTTCTTGACATTGACCCTCAATCCATATTGTAGGCTGTAGTCCTTGACACTCTTCAGCAGGCGCTTCAGGTCCTCTTCAGTTTCAGGAAGCAGGGTTGTGTCATCTGCATAACGCAGATTGTTGATAAATAATCCACCAATCTTGACCCCACATTTCTCCTCATAGAGCCCAGCCTCCCGGATAATCTGTTCTGCATATAGGTTGAAAAGGTAGGGAGATAGGATGCATCCCTGGCGTACGCCCTTCCCAATTTTGAGCCATGCAGTGTTCCCTTGCTCTGTTCTGACGACTGCCTCCTGGTCCAAGTATAAGTTTCGCATTAGAATGATCAAGTGTTCTGGGATTCCCATTCTTCTCAGAGTCAGCCACAGTTTGTTATGATCCACACAGTCAAATGCCTTTGCATAGTCAATGAAACACAGATAGAAATTCCTCTGGTATTCTCTGCTTTCAGCCAAGATCCATCTAACATCAGCTACAATATCTCGTACCACGACCCCCTCTAAACCCAGCCTGGACTTCCGGTAGTTCTCTGCTGATGTGCTGTTCCAGTGTTTTCTGGATAATCTTCAGTCAAATCCTGCTTGCATGTGAAATCAGTGAGATTGTTCTATAGTTTCCATACTCTTTTGGGTCACCTTTCTTTGGGATAGGAACAAATATCGATCTCTTCCAGTTAGTTGGCCAAATGGTTGTTCTCCAGATTTCTTGGCACAACTTGGTGAGCACGTCCAGGGCAGCATCTGTTAACTGAAATATGTCAACTGGTAGTTTAAATCAGTAGCTGCCCATTATAATGGCATCATTTTACAATATTTTATCAAGATCAGTGGTGAATAAATAATTAAAGAAAATGATATGGAGAAGAAAGGGATATCAAGACTAGAGGAAGACTCATTAATCTACAAATGCACATGACGCAACTTTGCTTTGCAAAGTGAAAAGTTTAGATTAGTTGATTGATGGAGATTAAAGATAACATCCTTCATATGAGTTATGCCATCAATATGAAGAATACAGAAATTCTCACAATTGGACCAGTAATTAGCATCATTTGTAAGGGTGTCAGGTCTTCCGTACTTTCAGTAAGCACGGCAGATGGTTGATGAGTCTTCTCTCAAGCCCCTCCTCTTTTCCAAGCGTGATGTCCCTCTCCAAGGAACAGCCTTCCCTAACAACATGCCCAGGGATGCCTCCAGAGCTCTGGTGGATTAGTTGATATTTTCAGCTCAGTTTGGAAAATTGATAACACTTGGGTTTAGAAGATGTCATCATTCACAGACCACCCCCCCAACTGTACCAGCAGCACCCAGATCCCTTTACGGGGCCATTTAAAGAGTCTGCCCCGTGTTTATTACCTATATCAATCACAGGATCATATTTTCCTGGAGAAGTAACACTCAAATTCAGTACTTGCAACTCCACCTTATGTAGTAGCTGGGTAGCCTCTTGTGCAATGTGCTCTTTGGTTTTATTTTCCCGTAAACGTTCCTTGAAAAATGAAAACAAAACAGCACCTCGTTAGGTAGAAAGTCACTCAGACTTAAAGTGGGACCCATGTGAGTGTGGTTGGGAAAATTCAATAAGTAATAATGTATCACAATGGTCCATCTTGTGATGAGGTCACCATGAGCTGAGGTTCACTAGATGGCAGTTAACAATAGATCATGGACTTCCAAGAAAACAAACAGATTTATCCTGGAGAGGGTTAAACTAGGCTGCTCCTTGGAGGCAAGGGTTCTGGGGCTTCGGCTGACATACTTTGGACATGTTGTAAGGAGGGAGAGGTCCTTGGAGAGGAACATCATGCTTGGGAGGGTGGAGGGACAGAGCAGGAGGGGAAGACCCTCTATGAGGTGGATTGATTCAGTGACTGGGGTAGTCGGGATGGTTTTGTCAGAGGCAGTGAGATTGGCACAGGATAGAGCAGGGTTTAGGGCTGTTGTACATAGGGTCGCTATGCGTCGCAAGTGACTTGACGGCACATAACAACAACAACCACATGAAAAGTATGTCTATTAAAGTCAGGAAATTAGGATATGTATTGCTTGTGGTGCTGGAGAAGAGTCTTCAACATACCATGGGCTGCCAAGAAAACAAAAAAGTCTGTTTTGGAGAGGGTGAAACTAAGTCTCTCCTTGAAGACTAGGATTTTGAAGCTCTGCCTCACTTACTTTGGGCACACAGCCAGGAGAAATTGGTCCTTGAGAAGGACATTATGCTCGGAAGGGTGGACAGACAGCACAGGAGAGGGAGACCCCGGATGAGATGGATTCATACAGTAACTGGGGCAATGGGGGTTGGTGTGTCAGAATTGGTGAGACTGGCTCAGGACAAGGAAGGGTTCAGAACTTCTGTACCTAGAGTTGCTATGCATTGCAGGTGACTCAAACAAAAACATTCTATGCCAGTTTTGGAAGCAGGGGTGGCATTCATTTCCTAAACAACTTGCCTCTGGAAACTATAAACTTTGATGGATGTTGATGGTTGTAGAGGGGCTACAGGCCTTTTTTCATACGGTTGCAAAGAGTTGTTCTGTCTCAAAGGCAATCAACAACAACAATAACATTGCTTTGGGCAAGTTTGCTGTCAGTCACCACTCCAAAATCATAAGAACAACAGTGTCAGTTTGAAGACTAAGGTGTGCCTGATTCAGACCGTGGTCTTCACAATCACCTGCATCAGATATATGGAGAATAAGTAAGGATGACTGTAGAAGAATTGAAGCCTTTAAATTGTGGTGCTGGAGAAGAGTACTGAATATTACATGGGCTGTCTCAGATATATCTTAGACAAACTGAAACTAGATGCTCTTTGGAGGCAAAGGTGGTGAAGCTTTGTCTCATATACTTTGGACCTGTAGGTAGGCAAGGTTATTCCTTAAAAAGGGGCATCACACAATAGAATACTATGCTGCATTAAAAACAAGGAACTCATGCAATATTATTCAAAATGGGTGACCCTGGAGGACATTATGCTGAGTGAAGTATCTCAGTCACAAAGGGAAAAATACTGCATGGTGCCACTGTTATAGAAAGTGACTGACATCAGGGTTGGGGTAAGACTGAGAAAAACTGCATAGATTATGTATACTGAACGGAAACAGAGGAGGAAGAGAACAGTTTAAAAGTGATATATGATAGCATATTGTGATTATCACAGGAATCCAGAATTAAGGTGGCCTAGTGGAGTGCATTTGGGGCAGGGGTGGGGGCAGGCCTGTGTACCAATGAAGAAGTTTATCTTTTGCTTTTCAAAGAGAGGAGCGAACTTGGTGGAGGAGGGGTAAAGAAAAAAAGTGCAACAATGAATGAATGAAAATCCAAAATCTCTGTAAATGTTCATTAAAATAAATAAAAAAAATTGTAATTAAAAAAATTAAATCATTTTTTAAAGGGGGGCATCACAGTTGGAAAGATAGAGGGTCAACAAAAGAGAAGACCCCTCCAATAAGGTGGACTGACACGGTGACTTCCACAATGAGCTCATGTGCCCGAGAAGACGAGGATAGCACAGGATAGGGCAGGATTCACGTCTGCTGTTTATACAGTCATTACGAGACATACTCAACTTGATGACATGCAAAGTATGTGGTTGTTGTTGTTCTTATATGCCTTTGATGTGAATGTGACTCATAGTGACCCAGTGAACAATAAATCTGCACCTTGTCCTATCTTGTGCCATCCTCATGATCTCTGATATCCTTGAGCCCATTGCTATAGTCACTATGTCAATCCATCTTGCTAAGGGTCTTTTTCCTTATGTTGACCCTCCACCTTTCAAACATGCTATTGCCCTCCAAGGACTGGCCTCATCTAACAACGTGCCCAACGTTTCATCATCCTAGCCTCTAAGATGCACCCTGGTCACACCTTCTCAAAGACAGACTTGTTTGTTCTCTTGCCAATCTATAGGATAATCAGTACTCTTCAACACCACAGCTCCAAGGCACGGATGCTTCTTCTGTCTTCCATATTTATTGTCCGACTTTCAGTATAATAAGAATAACAAATAATAAAAAAGACCATGGCTTGGATCAGGCACACCTTGGTCTCTAAAATGACATCATTGCTCTTTAGCACTTTGGTGATATCCCTGACAGCAGGTTTTCCAAATGCAATGTGTCTTTTGATTTTTTGAGTCCTGGTACCAAGGGTGTTGATTGCGATACAAGTAAGATAAAACTGTTTGCAATTTCAGTCTTTTCTCCATCTATTATGATGTAGCCAGTTGGATCAGTTGTGAGGACGTTTTCCCTTGATGCTGATATGCACTTTCTATTGAAGTCTTTGATCATCTGCAATGTGAAAGTCAAGTCCTCACTTTCAGCAAGCAAGGTTGTTTTATCTGCATAACATAGATTCATGATTCTTCTTCTGACCGCATTCTGCTTCTTAATAAAGTCCACCTTCTTGAATGATCCACTTAGCACATGGATTGGATAGGTATGACGAAACAATGAAACCCTGATATGCACTTTTCTTGATTTTAAGCCAAGTAGTGTTTCCTTGCTCTGTTCAGACAACAACTTCTTAATTTAGGTATAGATTTTGTATGAATTAAACAATTAAATGTTCTGAGATTCCCATCCTTCTCAACATTAGCCATAATTTGTTATGATCCACACAGTTAAATGCCTTTGCATAGTCAAGAAATCAGATAGACATCTTTCTGAATTCTCTGCTTTCAGCCAAAATCCATTTGACATCAGCAATGATATCCCTGGTACCATGCCCTCTTTAAAATGAACCTTTAATTAATAGCAGTTCTGTGTCAATGAATTGTTCTAATCATTTTTTTAACAGCACAAGTACAAGCAGGCATATCATTAGCTGCACTTTATTTGTGAGGTACTAGTGGGCTAATAGCAAGAATAGCAAGAAGCTGTGCTGCGGTCCCAAAAGCACATGGTTTAAATCCACCAGCTGCTCCGTGGGAGGAGGATGGGCAATCTCCTCCAGTGCAATAAACTGGCTCTGAAAACCCCCTGGATGGTCAGGTATAGGTCAGTTACGACTCCACAGCACACAAGAACAACAACACAAAGTTTTAGAGGATGAGATCTCTGGAACCACCTGCTTTTCTTACACAGGAAGAAAATTATAGGGAAAAAGAGATGGTAAAAGGTGTGTGATGCAGGTATTTTTAAAGTTTGATATAGACTATAATTAGTGTTCCATTCATGTACACCGTGCCTTATAAAATAACTTGTATACATTTTGCTCTATGTAATTAATTACTATTGTCCTCTGTCTTTTATCATTTCGTCTTTTCAAGACTCCATTGCTTCTTTCTTGTTCCTTCGTCTCTCCTGCACCCATCCACTAACCTCTGCTATTCCATATTGAAGGTATTGTTTTTGATTTTCTGCAGTGAGTGCTTCGAGTCTTCTTCACTTTCTGCAGCAAGGTTGTGTCATCTGCATAATTGAGGCTGTTGATGAGTCTTCTTCTGTTCCGGATGCCGTATTCTTCGTCTTGAAGAAGAGTTCAGCTTCTTGAACTCTTTGTTAAGTGCACAGCTTGAATAGGTATGGAGAAAGAAAATAACCCTGATGCACACCTTTCCTAACCTTAAATCATGCAGGGTTTCCTTGCTCTTTATGGAAAACTGCTTCTTGGTCTATGGGAAGGTTTTTCCTGAGCACATTTTAATGATCTGGGGAAGGGGAAACAGTCACTTCTAATTTAAATCCTCACCCTGGGGAATGACACAAATTCACCTCTAATGATATGGAAACATATGGTGTTGGACCAGGAGAATGAGCTAGTGAGACTGACCAATTCCAACACCAAGTCTCCACCTCCACTCACCCAAATGTTCTCCGAAGAGTGGTGGGTCTTTTGAATGTCCTCTGGGGGAAAAAAAAATATTGGCTATTAGAATGCTATACGGGAGAGGATATGCAACCATTCCCACCCCTCTTCCCCCAATCAACCTTGAATAAAGTCTTTTCTTCATGCTTCCACCACCACCATCACCAGTTGCCGTGAAATTGATTTTGAATCATGGAGCCCCCGTCTGTGTCAGAGTAGAACTGGGCTTTCTTCCAAGGGGCCTCTTTGTGAATTTAATCCCCCAACTTTTCAGTGAGCAGCTGAGAGTATCAACTACGCACAACCCAGGGATCCCAATGCATCCAAAGCCCATCTTAACTTTTTATTGAAAAGAAAGGAGGCCTTTGCTTTCATTATTCCCAGTTTACACACAGGCTAGGGCACTTGATGTCACAAATAGTTTGTGTTTGATCCTGAAGGCAGTGACAACTCAGACAAAGGTCTGGTGATCTGCTTCCACGAAGATTTTAAGTAGGAAAACGCTATAAAGCAGTTCTGTTCTGTAACACATGGGGCTTCCATGGGTCACAATCAATCTGCAGAAAATGCAGTACAGAGAAAGCAGACATAGGTTAAGTCATTAACCAGAAGTCAAGTGGTGAGAGGTCAAGTCAGACTATGAATCTAAATGCCTATGATTCTAATATGTGAAATAGAAACATATAAAGATTGAACAATGAAATAAATACATTCTAGATATCAAGAGCTCGGTCTCTCACTGTTGGAAAAGGAAATTATAAATAAAAAAGCAAAGAAAGCTAAAACAAACATTCAGGAATCTGTGAGTGGTACATATTGTTGTATGTGTGTATATTAATCGAAAAGGTTGGTTCATAGAATCTACCCAGAAGGGCCTCAGAAGAAAGGCCTGGCAATCTGCTTCTGAAAAGTCACGGACATGTAAACTTCATGCAGGGCAGTTCTGCTCTTCATACATAGAGTTGCTCTCAGTTGGGATGGAATCGACATTAATTGGTTAATGGGAAAATGAACCCTTGGTCATTTTAGAATCAAAGGTTATAAGCAGATACTCATGAATGTTAGTATATAGACAAAAGAAGTATATAATTTTCCAGTAAGCCTCCCGACCGCATAAAGCTATGTTGCTGTGTATGCCATGGAATGGACTCTGATTTATAGCAGACTATGAGACAGAGGAGAATTTCCTCGGACGTGTAGTGCATTAATTGTTAAACAGTACTCAAAGGTCAGCAGTTGGAATCCACTCACTGACCCGAGGGGGGAAAAATACAGGGAATCTTTGCCCATTAATATTTATAGACTCAGAAAACCAATGGAGGCTCATCATTTGCTGGCGTTCACTTGACAGCTGCTGTATCCTTAATGGGAGCAATTACCAGCTATTTCCTCCTGCAGAGCTGTTGGGTCCATTTGAACCATCCACCTTACAGTTAACATCAAGTGATTAACCATTGTTCCACCTGGGCTTCCTTAAGATAGAGACATAGAAATTTAAATTGAAAATGAGTGAGAGAAAAATCAAGTAGAAATATCCTGTTGGAAAGCCAAGAAAGCAAGCCAGACTGTAGGTCAGTCATTTACATCAAGGTGGTCATTGATGATGGATTTGGATGACACCTCCTGGGTAGTGAACACCAAAGACAGTAAAGAAATGAGGGATGAGGGCCTGGACAGGGGTCCACTCGCTTACCTGGCCGTTTGTAACATTCTGCATAACTGACATCAAGGACCTTAGCCACAATGTTGAACAATGAATGCTTTTGGAAACAGTTACAGCGGAAACCTCCAACTGTATTTTTGCAGTATGCTTTCTTTGTGCAATATTCCTGTCCACTCTCACACTCATTAATGTCTGTGAATCAAGAAAAACACTTTCTTTTATTTTCATACAAGTAAACTATTTCCTCTTACTAGCAGAATCCAGCCTGCTCAATATTTCTGGTAAATCAACTCACCTAAAATATTATCTTGTGAATGAGTAGAGAGGACATTATATAAGTGAAATAACTCAGTTACAAAAGGACAAATATTTTATAAGACCACTGTTGGAAAATTAGGGGGATGATAGAGTAGGAGGAGGGAGATAAAAATGAATGGATAGATAAGAGATAGACTTTATTGAAATAGGTGACGGGAAGGTCAATGAAACAAATGGACAGTAAGACATTGTGTGTGTTGCAATTAATGTGAAAGAGGACAAGCATGGCATTGGAAATGAATGTTAGGAAAGGTTATACACAGATATGAACAATTATGGGGAGTTGATAGGGACGAGAAGGGAGAGAGAAGAGGCAGATATTAACTGATGAATGGGAAAGGTCAACGTAAAAAAGAGTAAAGCAAGTATTTGATGAGATATTGTAATAAATGACATTGATCAATTGTAGTTAACACTAAAACAAAATGTTTAGGAATGATTACAAAAGAGTCAATACAAAACCACCAAAATCCAAAATCATCTCCTTTTCAAGGATGAGATGACTTAACTTTAGAGAGATGGCAATTCTCCTGAAGTTTATCAATATATTTGATGCAGTTATGATACAAATACCTACAATTTATTATGTGGAGACAGAGGAATTGATAACATTATGTAAGTGTAAGTCTGAAAATGAAAAGGAGTGCTATCTTTATTCGATATTAAACATACCATAGGGAACCTTGTTGACATTATGGGGGTTTTTTAATTTCACACATGTTGTTGTTGTTATGTGCCGTCGAGTTGTTTCCGACTCATAGTGACCCTATGCACAACAGCCCTAAACCCTGCTCTATCCTGCGTCAACCGCACCGCCTCTGACACACCCATCCCGATTACCCCAGTCACCGAATCAATCCATCTCATAGAGGGTCTTCCCCTCCTGCATTGTCCCTCAACCCTCCCAAGCATGATGTCCCTCTCCAAGGACCCGTCCCTCCTGGCAACATGTCCGAAGTATGTCAGACGAAGCCCCAGAATCCTTGCCTCCAAGGAGTAGCTTGGTTTAATCCTCTCCAAGATAAATCTGTTTGTTTTCCTGGCAGTCCAGGGTACATTCAGTACCCTTCTCCAGCACCACAGCTCAAAAGCATCCACTCTCCTTCTGTGCTCCCTAGTCATTGTCCAACTCTCTGATGCATAACAAGCGATTGCAAATACCATGGCCTGTATGAGGCGCACCTTAGTCTCCAGAGAGACACTGTTGCTCCTGAGTACCTTCGAGAGGTCCCTAACAGCAGACTTTCCCATCGCGATACGCCTTTTGATTTCCTGACTGCTGGTGTCAAGAGTGTTGACTGTGGAGCTGAGCAAACTGAAGCGGTGAACACTCTCAATCTCTTCGTCATCCATCCTGATGCTGCCAATTGGTCCAGTGGCGAGAATCTTTGCCTTCTTGGCATTGAGCCTTAGTCCATACTGAAGGCTGCAGTCCTTGACCCTTTGGAACAAGTGCATGAGGTCCTCCTCAGTTTCAGCAAGCAGGGTTGTGTCATCTGCATAACGGAGATTGTTAATAGATCTTCCACCAATCCTGATGCCACAATTCTCCTCATAGAGCCCAGCCTCTTGGATAATCTGCTCTGCATACATGTTGAAAAGGTATGGAGACAGGATGCATCCCTGGCGTACACCCTTCCCAATTTTGAACCATGCAGTGTTACCCTGCTCTGTTCTGACTACTGCCTCTTGGTCCAAGTATAAGTTTCGCATTAGCACAATTAAATGTTCTGGGATTCCCATTCTTCTCAGAGTCAGCCACAGTTTGTTATGATCCACACAGTCAAATGCCTTTGCATAATCAATGAAACACAGATAGACATTCTTCTGGTATTCTCTGCTTTCAGCCAAGATCCATCTAATATCAGCAACAATATCCCTAGTACCACGACCCCTTCTAAGCCCAGCCTGGACTTCTGGCAGTTCTCTGCTGATTCAAACCTAGAGTTGCTGTAATCAAGGGTGCTTTGGGCAGAATATTAAATGATCCAGGAAGTATTAAAAGAAGATGGAAGGAATATACTGAGTCATTATATAGAAAGGAATTGGCAGATACAGAGGAATTTAAAGAAATAACATATGAGCAAGAGCCTATGGTGATGAAGGAAGAAGTTCAAGCTGCTTTGAAGGAAATAGCAAAAAATAAGGCCCCAGGAATAGATGGTATACCAATTGAAGTATTTCAGATAACAGATGTTGCCCTGGATGTGCTCACCAAGTTGTGCCAAGAAATCTGGAGAACAACCACTTGGCCAACTGACTGGAAGAGATCTATATTTGTTCCCATTCCAAAGAAAGGTGACCCAACTGAGTGTGGAAACTACAGAACAGTGTCATTGATTTCACATGCAAGCAAGATTCTGCTGAAGATCATCCAAAAACGATTAGAACAGCACATCAGCAGAGAACTGCCAGAATTTCACACATAGATACTTTTAAATGTTGAGGAATATGCATCAAAATAGAAATAATTTATCTCTGCATTTTCCAGAAAAAGTTGGTATCAAGTCCACTCTGAATCAAGGAGACCCTGAGTGTGTGAGAGAATTATGCTCCATAGTTTTCAATGGCTAATTTTTTTATTATTAATTTTAATGAACATTTACAGAGACTTTGGATTTTCATTCATTCGTTGTTGCATTTTTCTCCCTCCCCACCCCTCCCCTCCTAGTTCAGTCTTCTCTCTGAAAAGTAAAAGAAAAATTCTTTCATTTGGTATACAACACCCCCGGCCCCCCCGAGTCCACTCTACTGTGCAACCTTCATTCTGGACTTTTGTCATGACCGTAATACCCAATCATCTATTGCTTTTAAACTGTTCTCTCCCTCATCTGTTTCAATGCAGTACACATAATTTATCCAGTCTTTCTCAGTGCTCAAGCTCGAACCTTTGGTGATACAAGCCCACCCAGGAGTGCCACGGGATAAAGACCTGGTGATCTTCACCCATAAAGATCATATCCTAGAAAACCCTATTCTCTGTCACACAGAGATTATCACTGTGAGTCAAAACTGTCATGACAGTGCCTAATAGCAACTGTTAACATATGGTATATAGTGATATGTAAGATGTTATTACATTAAAACTGACTCAAGGTGATCTTGTACATGTCAAAATAGAACCAGGATCCACAGAATTTACGTAGAGTGTACCTTTCAGAGGTAGATCACTAGATTCTTCTAAGGCACCTCTAAATGGGTTTGAACCACGAAATTTTTCAGTTAATAGCTGGTTGCCTATTGGTAGGTAAGAAGCTGTGCTGTACTCCTGAAGGCATACAGTTCAAAGCCATCATCTGCTTCACAGGAGAAGGATGACCGATCTTCCTTCTGTGCAATTAATTGTCTCTGAAAACCCACTGGAGGGTCAGCTATGGGTTGGTTCTGATTTGACAGTTTGCAAAAATAACAGGTTGAGTCATTAATTTTTCACACCATCCCGGTGATTATTCTCTCCGGCTCTTTCTGTCTCATGGGTTTCTCTCTCTTCAGCTCTCTCTCTCTCTCTCTCTCTCTCTCTCTCCATGTAAAGGAGCACTGGTGATTTTTTTTTTT